TATATATATATATATAATAACAAGCACTGATAATATCTTTCATTCTCTAACAAAATGTACATATCATACATACCATGACATTTTTAGCTGTAAAAAGTTCACATTTAAAGGTCACATAATTAATATTATTTTAATGTCTCCATCCAAACACTGTCCCATTTACCTTTTCAATTCTTCATTGTTTTTTTCTAATCTAATTTATGTTAGAGGTTACCTTATTGTGAGTATTTTCCACCTAACTTAATTCATGAAAATATTTGATATAGTAACTACTTATTGCAGTTCAACTCTTCCTCAGGAGCATGATTTGCGAAAGTTTATGCATATCAGCCAGCATATTGATTGTATGCAGACAACCAAATCAGATACTCACAATATTTCCTACATGTTTGCATTTGTGTGGATACGTGTGTACAGGCAACAACGTACATACAGTGAACTTAATAAGAAATTTGTTTTGGTAGAGTGTAATCTCTAGCATCTGAACCTGTGCCCAAAGTAAACATTTTATTTTCTGAAATGTTTTTAGGTATAGGTAACCGCTGTCATTTTATATGCGCATCTCATGTAGGAACAAAGCTGCATGAAGTGCATATTGATATGATTTAAGGCATCTGTAAAAAACCAACAAAGTAGCCTAAGGCTGGGTTCACACCTGGGCGTATTTTTTCTGCTCGTTTTTCAGCTCGTTTTTTTCGCGCCGGAGGACACAGCGGGGATCGCGGACAAGATAAGTCCAACACTGTATTCCCGAGTGTGGCTCGGGGTTACCGCTTTGTTAACCCCCGAGCCACACTCGGGAATACCAAAGGAAACGCGCGGAAAAACGCCCCAAAGAAGCTCCTGTACTTGTTTGGGCGTATGGCGTTTTTCATCGCGTTTCCACAGGCTGAAATACGCCCCGGTGGGAACCATCCCCATTGGGAAGTATGGGACTTCACTGTTTGATCATTTTACAGCGCGTCGATTAGCGCTGTAAAACGCCAGGGGGGAACCCGGCCTTACTGCAAGCTGCGCTGGGTCTATCACAGTGTGCATGTACCGATATGTGTGCTATGGCCACAGAAAGTGCGCGCACATAATTTTAAAGCACTGATGCTTATGGAGATGGAGATTCCTATAATAAATACTTGTACATACGCTGACTTTTTTGCTCTAACAGCACAGCGTATAAGTCTTTCTTGACCTTCTCTCTTGGATTTCTCATTCACATTTCATTCCTTAGTTCACTTTATCAGAACAGGAGGTGCCAGAGCAGCATTATTTGGATGTTCGATGCACACTACAATCTGGGACCACACTGTACAGATAGAACATCAATGTACGATTTGATAGATAGGACTAGTAAACATCCGTGTGTAATCTAGTAATGCAAGCACGCGCAAAAAAGAAGAAGAGAGTGGGGCTTTTTAGGCACCAAGTGACAAAAACCAAGAGATTAAAACATAGTAAATCCAAAGTTCTTTATTATACAAAAGTTACAAACTGAAAAGCAAACTGATCCCCAAATAAGCTATTCCAGAATTACAATATGAGACTAGGCGATCATAACAGGCATCATTGGTATGACATGTTCTTATGATCTTATGTTCTTTTGATCATACAGCACTCAGATGCCTCTTCTTGTGCGCTTCCTCAGGAGATATAGGAGATCTAAATAATCACATAATAAGTGAGTATACCAAAAAGGATAACCGGATAACATCCACCCACCTTAATTTTTTGTTTGTTTCCGGTGCTCCCTTTTTATATAAAACTCCATGGCATGCTACAATCACTCATTAGAGTTTCTTTTCCATGATACATTAAATATATTTGTTGTTGCCATGGAACTCTTGAGGCAATGCCAATTGGGTCCCAGATTTTAGTTATTTCGAGGTTTGAGTGGGGTAGAGATAGTGACTTCTCTCCCCTCCTTTTTGCTTAGTTTTAGGTATCTGTCCGCCTGTCATCTTCTTCCCATCATTTTCTGGGGGGTCTCCCATGTCCTCGGGCCCGCTTCAATCTTGGGCTCCTGCCCTGCTGGTTCAGCCGGGCACACACGGATTACTCTCCGGACCGGTAGGTGATATTACTGATATTTTGGTATTCATTAAGGTGGGTGCATGTTATCCTTTTTGGTATACTCACCTAATATATGATTATTTAGATCTCCTACATCTCCTGAGGAAGCGCTTGGAGCGCGAAACATGTTGAGAATTACTATTCCTGACACAAGTACCATAACAATTATGTCTGTTATGATTGCCTAGCTTCATATTGTAATTCTGGAATAGCTTATTTGGGGATAAGTTTGCTGTTCTCGTGTGCACATATTAATCATTTTTTTAAAGATTTTTAACTTTTGTATAATAAAGAACTTTTGATTTACAATGTTGTAATCTCTTGGTTTTTGTCACTTGGTGCCTAAAAAGCCCCACTCTCTTCTTTTTTACTCTAATTGATATACCAGGGGTGTGGCACCTTATATTCAGGAGCTGGTCACGATAATTTGTTTCAGTAATCCAAGCATACCATAGTGGTTTATGCCTGCGCTTGTTCATTTTCCTTCAGTAAATCTGGCCCATTGCATATTCTTGGAGGCAAAATCTCCATGCTAAACCAATGTAAACATACAAGATCAACATATAATCTATAGTAAAATAAATAATTAGAAATGCACCATAAAATCGTATTTGATGGTTCAGACTTGTCTGAAAGCCACGTGTACATAAATAAACCCCCAAAGGTTTTAGTTGAAGTGGGCTAGATTAAATAAATATGACTTATTTCTATTATCCATTTTTTTTACTAGATTCAATGTCTTGTACTAACACCTTCAGGCAGATTGTTTTGCTAACACTGTGCCACATACGTCTGCCTTCTCGCCATTCTAGCCACGGTGTCTGTTGGCCAGAAGATTACACCTGAAGAAATCTTTCAACATAAGTCTTTGGATTGGAGGTAAAGAATAGTAATTGTAAACCAAGTTCTGTCCACAATAGGTGAAGTTCTCCTTTTATTTGCAATTTACACAAGACCAGACACTGCATTTACCATTCCAAATGATTAAAGCTGACCTCCAGGATGAATAAATATTGTCTGAATACAAGACGTATGGGCTTTCTTACTTAAATCTTGGTGTGCAGTGTGAAACTTTGCCTCTGCAAGAGCTTCCTGTAGTAAAGGCCAGTCATTGCTGCTCTCTCCTTGTTCAGGGTGACTGGTCTTGTCTCCGCCTCCCCCCATAGCTTTCTGTAGGCAGCCTGTAGTGGGTTGAGCCTGCTGGATCCCTTCCACAGCTGTGCTCTGTGCACAAGCTATGAGCAGGACACAGGATTATGAGGTGATAACTGGGTTTGCAAAGGCATTTGGTGCACACAAAAGGGATTTCTTTTATTTTTGGCAATTGAGGAAATATAGTCAAAGAAAATGTTTTGTGCCCGGAGTTCAGCTTTAAAGCAAGACAGCAGCAGCACTTCTATGCATTCAAAGCTGCTCAATGAGAGAAGGAATTCACCTGTAGACTACAGGTCTGCCTATAAATCCCCAGTGCTCACTAAGTTCAATGTTGTAAATATAACAATTTTGTTAATGATTATTATTAGTGTTCTGGAAAATGTGCATCATTTGGAGTTTTGTGGGGGAAAGAAGCAGGATGGGGTACTAAGCAAGTCAATTTTCTTTAGTGAGGAAAATATTTGTTTTCACAATAAAAGAATTTCCTGTGCGAGTGCCCAGTCCTTGTTTTCTCAAACAAAACTCCAAATGATGCGCATCTTCCTGACCATTGATAATATGCATACACATGATTGTTTATCAATAGTAATAAATACGTACCTGTTCTTCACCCAGTTCCCTCTGCAGACGCCTCTGCCACTGTGTACTCTGCATCACTATCGCTTCCCATCTCCTCTCCAGATTGACACTTAAGAGTTGCAGGTTGGGAGGATCGTGGTGTGGGGACGGGTCCGGGACATTTAGAAGATGGTGACACAATCGTAGGACAGATGCCACTCCACGCCTACGAAGCTGGAGCTCAGAGCAGAGACTCTGTGGGAAAAGATAGACAGTTACTAGGGGTAGTAACAGAACAAATCTGCTTGAAAATAATGCTGTAAAGAAGCAGATGACATGGTATACAGGTGATGTAAAATCAGCACATACATTTAGGAAATGGTAATATCAAAAGCTGAAAAGAAGCATGTTGTAAATCTCTAAGAAATATATATTATGTATGAGTCAAAATCCCAACCAGACATGGCAATTACCTGAATAAACTTAACTGAGTCCAATTTATAAGGGAAGTTCTTTCATATTCACAGACCTGACATTTAAAGAGTATATAATACTACAGTATCTGTGTTAATTATTGAATGCAAAGAGCAATGATGTACTGTTTCTTACAGCAATCTGAACTGCCATCTTAGTTGTGACAATCAGACAAAGTTAGACATGTTTTGCACCCAAGTGAACTTTAATACCTGACAACTTATAGAGGTGAAAAAAGAGGGACAACAGTTTAGCACCAAAATGTTTAACCAAAAGATATGTCCTTGCTAAAACCAAACAGACTTTATCATTATTTACACATTGCTCCGGCCATCTGGATTCCAGAGTAAATTAGAAAATTAAAATTAGGAGTTAGTGGTAACCTAACAACAGATTCTTTATAGCAGAGTATTAGGATATGCAGCACAAGCACAATAAAATACTAATATATATAGATATAGATATCTATATGTTTATATATAGTTTGAAACTGGGTCTGTTCCTCCAAATGAGGTTATCAGCTAACAGTGATGATTAATACATAATTAAGGCTAATAATGCTAACACCTAGTTTAAAGGTCTTATGGCTATTTACAATCTTCTGTAAAATCCTGATATATAAATATAATATATATTCCTAATATATATGTAAATCCCAATTGTAGGAAAAGTAGGCTGGGAACTGTGGCTATGAACAGGTTAAGTGTCGGAGACTAGAAAACTGAGAGGGGCCATCAATATGATTCGTCTCTCACAGACACAGAGTCTGACAAATAGAGCGATTAAAAGGCCACTGAGAGCCATCTCTCTCTGCCAATTATCGCCATGTATCATCCCTGGCCCAACGAGGAAGGCAGAAATATGGCCTTTTAAATGGCACTATTTAAGTGTTCACTGATAATGAAGCACATGGCAGGGCCCTAATCACAGCTCACAGGGGAGAAGGACCCAAATCAGTCTACGCATCAGGCTGGTAACTAGCAGAGAAGATGTAGGCAGGGCAAGGATCCAGAAGCAGCATAGATAGCACATAATGCCATTGTGTCAGTGCCAAACATGATTCTGCAAACAAAAAGGTATTATGGCACAGCAGTAGGTCAACTATTAAGATCCCCTCCAACTATAAGAAGTGATTCATAGATGAGTTATGTGAGTCATAGCATGGAGGTTTAGGAACAGATAAATGTACCTTTATATTGGTACACTATATTGGTGAATAACATAGATAATATCATTAGCACTATATAAGATTTTACCCAGAAAATATCACAGATTCAGGGAGAATGTGATATCTGCCAACAAAACATCTGAAAAGATATGAGAGATGGGGGGCATTTTTATTTTCTTTAACTTTATTGTTTACTTTTTTTTACCTCATTGCTATCACATGGGGGGCTCACAAGCTCCCTATGTGATAGCACATTGGAGGTGACAGGTTCTCTAAGGTGACATTAGGGGTCTTTTAGACCTTTCCACTTCACTGGGGAATGACAGCTGACCAGGGCCGTAGATTATTTTTTCCCCACAATTTTTGGTCTTTTTTCATTTAAAAAGAGGACTAAAGGACTATAAATCTCAGGAATACATTATACATCAATGCAGAATAATATGAAGCTACGTACTCTGTGTTGCTCCTGGGTGGTAGCCTGATGTCTCCAGGGTCTCAGGCTTTGTGGAGTCTCAGGTGGGCTGTGCGGAAGTCTGAGGTGGGCTTTGTGGAGTCTCAGGTGGGCTGTGCTAGAGTCTGAGGTGGGCTGTGCGGGAGTCTCAGGTGGGCTGTGCAGGAGTCTCAGGTGGGCTGTGCAGGAGTCTCAGGTGTGCTGTGCGGGGGTCTCAGGTGGGCTGTGCGGGGTCTCAGGTTGGCTGT